TTACAAAAAGACACCTTCTAAGTATAACATGATTTTAAGCACCAAGCCATTCTACACATCAAGGGACCTTTGAGCAGAGTCGAGTGCTGGTCTTTCTGTCAGGGCACATGGGGATGGGGGAGTCACATGTGCCGCAGCCTCTTCCCCCCACACTGAGGTTGCCTTGCCACGGGAACCAGTTGATGGGCTCCATCAAGTACTCAAGTGCATACCAAGAGATAACAGCATGGACCCCCGGCTGCAAAAGCAGGGAAAAAGTAGCATGACAGTATTGCTGTACCACAGAGGGCAGTTTACAGTATCATTTATATTTCAGTGGATATAAAAGAACATAAAACCTTGAACATGGCATAACTGTGCAAATACTCGTAATTACTGGTTTTCCCCCACACTGATCCATATACCAAAAAGGCTGAGGAATAGAGTTACACTTCCAGCTGAATGGGTCACTGTTGAACCTAAATCAATTAGTGGGGGCACCTATTCTGCAAGTTAACAAGGAAAGAATTAAGAGTTTTAATTACTTACTGTATGGTAATGATGACCTTGAATGGCAAAATTTCTGACACTTATGTCTGAAATAATAACCCAGATTAGATTATATTCGAATAGATTATATTTGATATAATTATGGTTATTTTAAAACTGATGATTTACTAACCCATGAAAATACGAAGAAAGTTCTATTTATCAAAAAATTTATGAGCCAGGAAGCAAAAACATGCAGCTTTGCAGGTTTGCTCTATTTGCTTAAGGTTTAACACTATTAAAACTGTTAAATATATATACGTTAGAAAACAAGCACTGCAAGAATTATAGTATTCTGGTTTGTGTATCACCTTCCCAGAGTGCAAATTCACTATTTGATGGATGATCAACATTAGGAGAAAATTATTCATCTGATTACCAGGAGAAGAGAGATAAAATGAACACAATATATTGCTGAATTTAGCATTATAATCACAAGAAGAATTTTTACAGATATATTGCAGCAGGGAATACTCCCAGTTTTACACACAGGAATTTCCTGAATCTAATATGTCATTTATTCCTGGCAAAGTCTGCCCTTTGTCTACGTATATTTCATTTTTCCCAAACAGAACAGCACTAAGCTACATAAGTGCTGGACCAACTTTTGCCAGGTTTAGCTACTGTATATAGTAAAGCTCTAGTAAAGCATTACATCTTATTATCTGAAAGATGAGCTAGAGGAGCACTTTAATCATCTTACCAGTTAGAAAAGACATTTCAAAGCCTACAACATACCTCATTTTAGAGCAATTCACAGTAAGATTTACTCTTGAAGATTCTATTTTTTACTTTCTTTTGTGAAGATAAATAGAGTAAGGTGTCCTGACAGAGAAGAACTCTATACAAGGGCAAATGTGAACAGGAGAGGCTTTTAAGCACATAGCAATCATCCTTTTAACTGTATTTTCCCCATGCTTTTCCGCATACTATTTTTGACAGTCTTTCTTACAAAAATTTAGATCAGCCCTCCAGACCTTATTTCCATTATAGTCAATAGTCCAGAGACTTCCACTTCCATCACTTTTCTGACGAAAATGAGACTTCCTTTCACTTCTTACCTTGCACCTCATTTTGCTTTATCCTGCAGTGAAGTCTTATCTAACTTCATTGTCTATCCTTGTAAAAGCAACTGTGCTGCAAAAAACACATCTCTTCATTGTACAAATATGGAAACGGTAGACTTGGAGAGAAGGAATGCAAAACAAAGCTCTCATAATTAGCAAGAGGAGTAGCATGGAAAAATATGATAAATATTCTGTTTACAATTATTTTTTTGCTATTTAGACATTTCTACTCTATGGAGAAAATTCTCTTCCATCCCCAATGCCAAACATGGGAAACCAGTTTTGGCTCTAAGCATTTCTCAGGATTTTAGAGGAAGGGAATCTACAGCCGCTACGACAAGCCTGGGTTGCAGTAGCCATGCTGGTCCTGCATCCTGGCTCTGTGGTCAACAAAGCCATGCAAGTCTACCTCTGCCTAGTAAAGTATCGAGGCTTTTCCTTACCAAACCCTACCTCTTGTTCTGCACTGCTTCATGGAAACAGAGAAGCCCTGGACAGTTGAGTTCCTTACTAGGCTCTCTGGAGATGCCCAGACCTACCATTTGAGTTCAGCATAATTCCATGTGGCCTGTGATTTCTGCTGTTGCCGTCAGCTGAGGCCAGAGTACCACAGCCAAGCACAGGGTGTATGCGGCTCATCTGTTTGAAGTCTGTCTAAATTTTGACTCACAGAATGACTGTCAGTTTGCATTGAGCGACTCATGGGTCACACATGCCGTTACTCAGAGGTAACAGATTCAACATTATATGTGCAGTTCTCACTTATTTCTCTCAGGCTAGCTGCCTGTAGCATTCAGAAAAAAGTTAGACATCCCCTCAAAATCAAAAAAAATTAATTTCAAATATTTGTGTTGTTACCCCAGTGCTGAATATGATGTAGATAATTCATTTGACATTATTTTTATTTAGTAGCCTGGCCATGATACCATTTTACAGAGTGCATGCCCAAACAATGAACATTTTTGTAAGCATTATATGTTCAATAATGAAGTACAGCTAGGTCAGCTGCTTGAAACTGCAGATCTTCTTTTACAGTATTTCCTTTTCTGAGTATATTTACATAACACAAAAATAGACCTTTAATTTCAATAAATTACAAACTCTTCTACCGTATTTTCTAACGGAAGCGGGGCATTTAAATATTTTCAAATAATCTTTCATTATAAGGATATGATTTCAGTCACTCCAAAGTGCTACTTATAGCTTCATCTGCTCTACAGATTAAAAACATGCACAATAGAAGTAAGTTTTTAAATAGCATTCCTCCCATGTTAGAAGAGATAATGTTTGAAATTGATTCTTATGTTCCCCTGCCCATTTGTGGAAAATAGTGTGTAGCTGAGGTCCCAAGCATCCTGACATGTCACAGACCAACCCCTTGCATCTGAAATGCTGCTTATGTGGCAAAAGGTACAGGCTTCGCACCACTATGAGGACCTGGAACGCACTTTCAGAGATTTTTATATTGAAACTATATTCTCATATTCCTGGCTGAAATACTTACTGCTTGCAGAGAATGAATTTTCGTTCAAACTTGTAAAAATATTTTAAGTTTCAATGTATTTATGCAACAGTATGTTGAGATTGCAGCACACTTAAACCCAAGTAAAACAAGCCTGCAGCTGCATAGTCAGTCCATCAAATAGCTCTTTGGAAAACAAGAATTTTATTTGCATAATTTTTCTGAATTCAGGATTAGAAAACTCTTTAAAAAGATCTTTTACTTCATATGGAAAGATCTCAATGGCAGAAAAATTCGCAAGTATTGTTATCTTGAATTATTCCCAAACAAGGCTTACAATTTTCAAATACGTACCTATCTAAACCTGGACAACTAAATCCTCATTTACTCTCATAAATTATTGGGCTGGATTTCAGAGATTTTGAGAACTCTCAATTTTCCCTCTACTGTCAAGGAAGAACTTTGTGTGTGCTCCTCTGTAAACCAAGCCACTTGATTCGGTGATCAACTACGACATGCTGTCCACACAAAGATGCCCCCACTTTGGAAATTTATCAACTAAGCCTCTGGCATTACTAGGCACCAGTCAAAATAATGGTTATTAACCAAATTATGGATTTGCTTGATTAGCAATGGAAAAGTGAGAGCTGCAGCCTGTATCTCATCGCTCACTGCAGTGAGTTGGGTGCACTCCATTGTCAGTATTTCAGAATACACATAGTTTGCCTGTTCTGTTTAGACAGAAATGAGGCTGTTGTCTTATGCTGCTATGAGATGAACAAAAATGAATGTCTCTCTCTAGCTATTCACTTTTGCATTTTAAATACTATTCTCTGTCTCACCCTTCCTCTTCCACTTAATATAATCCCCTCATCTCAGACCCTAAAACAGGAGAGTCCCAGCTACAAGACCTTTTGAAGGTCACCTCTAACTTCAGAGTGTCTCTTTCTCTAGGACTAAAAGAGCCTTGGTGTTAGCAAAGTATAAAGTATTTTCCTTTTGCTATGCAATATGTGCATACGATAACACAAATAACAGGAAATATTCTTGTTAATACAGCACCATCAGCAAAATGCTGACCGGTTTCAAATCACTACATACCTGGGTATCTGCAAAGTGAAGCTTACTTCTTAAAGTTCGTAATATTAATAAAAGATGCTCACAGGCTACTGGAGGTTTACAGTTATAGAAAGATGCAAGAGTTTACGGTAGGGCCAGCTTTACCATTGACAGAATCTGTTCAAGAACACAGGTCATTTATCTGGGGTTTATGCTACTGACATGACCAAAAGGACATCCTGGGGCCATTGCCACCATTTTGCAAGCAGGGCTTGATGTCTCTACTGTTGCATTCTTGGTAGTACAGTCATTAGCATGCCGTGAAATTAGGACCAGTCAAACAGTATTTAACCATAAGGCTGCCTGCAAAGCTTGAAGTCTTAAGCTGTTACTTCTCTTTACAAGATACTCTACAACCCCCTATAAACATCTAAAAAGGTGGAACGCACACTCCACTACTGTTCTCATAATCTTTGCCATTTTGATAATGGAGCTGCTAAAAATCAGCTGCAGCTGGCAGAACTAATACTTGAGACAAAACCAGAAAGACGTTGGGTTATTTTCATTCTCTCTTATGCCTGAGGAAATAGTGTATATATGGCTCCTTGCCCATCCACTCAAACACTTAAGTCACACACCTATGCCTCTGGAGATGGGTGTTTGTGTGTGTGGGAGGCAATGCGCGGGGATGAGGTGAGGTCTGGCAGGCAGCACCCTGGCCTGCTGAAACCTCAAACCACGCTTCATGTACACAGTTTAGCACTCACTTCATCCACAAACCCAAACTAGTGTCCAGTCTGTTTTTGTGCCCAAACTCTTGCTTGCCCAATTCACGTACTAAAGGCAGGACCCCGCTGAACAGGGCGCCTGCTCCACTTCCTCACCTGACCACGTTGGGGTGCTCGAATGTCTCCAGGTGCCTCAAAACTGCCACCTCTCGGATGGTAGACAGCGGCATCCCCTCCTCGCTGGTCTGCACCCGTACCCGCTTCAGCGCAACAAATCGACCTCCATTCTTCAAGTCTCGGGCTTTGAACACCTTTCCGTAGGCTCCTTCTCCAATCTCAGCCACACATTCATACTGATGGTCAGCCAGGTTCGTGCTGTCCTTATCCATGCTGGCGACGCTCCTCTTCCTCTCGTGCTCCAAGTGCCTTGGGGTGGCTCTTGGTCTCGCTTGCTTTCTGCAAACTAGTACTCTGCTTGCCTTGCGGACAGACCGTGCACTAGGTACCTCTGCCAGAGGGGCAGTAGGAAACTCTTGCCCTCCTCTTCTCGTTCCTCTTCTGTACGGGCCCCAGTGTGTCTCCTCTTTCGGCCACCAGGAATTATCATACAGTCTTTGGGAGCATTGTCTGTGTAAAGACAACCAGATCTGGAGGACAAACCAAGCAAGAAAAGTGAGTTTAGTTTACTTCATTATTTTGCATTGTTCAAAAACTGAGAAAGTTAAGCTAATACAGTAGATAGCTACATGCAAAGCAAAAACGTGGTGCAAAGGAAGATGTGAACCAGCAGGGTGACACATGTATCAACAACCCTGCATGGCTGATACAACACTACAAAGTTATCACAGTCTGCACAGAAGGCTACAACACAGCTACAGAGCAACCGCGTGCTGTGGGATTTTACTGAGCAACGGGCTGAATACGACAACGCTGTGAGACGTGGGTGATGGGGATGGCAGAGCTAACTATGCATGTATGAGATGAAATTATGTCCAGCAACTTCTATCAGGACGGCAGGACTTAAAGATTTCTTTAGTGTACATGGTAGAGTCTTGGAAATATATCCCATACTGTACTACTGTTACTTATTTGTAAATAATAGCATTTGGAGGTTTCAGCCTTTATCTGATCTTCCCTACGCTAAGCCCTGCATGAACACATCGCAAGAGAGAAGTGCCTGCCTCAAAGTGCCTGTGGGGAGAAGAAAGATGTATATATTTAAATGACGATAATAATATGCTACCGAGCATTGTGTGCTGAGGTAGATTCAGAAATGTGCACTTTAGCAAACTTATTAACATGCAGGGGTTTTGGCTGTGGATACTGCTACCGCTGGATGTGTGACTGACTGGCAGTTCCTTGCAGAGCAGGATGATGAAAGATGGTCTTCAGGAACAGCATGCTCTGCTGTACAGTGCATGAGGCTGGAGAGCAGAAGTGCTTCCTTCTGCATCCAGTTTCATCCATGCTTACTGCAGGACTGTGGGCAAATCCCCTCTGCTCACAAAGCTCCATATCAATCCCCTCGCTTCCCCCTGCCTCTTTTTAATATAGTGATATGGTGATCCCCGGGTCTGTAACCTTCTCCTACATTGCATTTTTACCGTGCTAGGATTACAGACCCCCCCATAGCTCAGTCGGGGATCCCTTAATTTGAATCCACGCATAAACCCAGAGGTATTCTGCACACTGATGCTGATGCAGATGAAAAGAGCAAGCTGAAGGAAACCTGTGCCGGCTGCTCATCGCTCTTCCCCGGCTGCAGCCAGAGGCACCACCTTGCCCCACCGACTTCAGCTGCCACCACCAGAGCTGCCACCGCACTGCTCCGCCCGGTCCAGCGGGCAAACCCGCGCCCCTCCGCGCCCGCAGCACCCACGGGGCAGCACCCACCGCCGCGGCCGCCGCGCCTTGTCCCCGCCGCGCCGGGGGACACCTGCCCCGGACCCCCCCAGCCGGGGCCGCCCGCGCCCCGCACCCCGCACCCCTCACCCACGCCCCGCACCCCACGCCCGCAGCCCATCCCGCCCCGCGCCGCTGCAGAGGGCGCCCCCGGGCGGCGGGTAGCGGCGACGCGCGTGTGCGTGGCCGCGGGGGCGGCGGGCCTGCCTCGGCGCGGCCGCGGCGCCGGGTGGAAAGTTACCGCTCGTCCTCCCCGGGCACGGCGAGATACCGGGGGTGACCCCCCGGTCCCCCACTCCCTCCGCCTCGGCACCGAGCTCTCCTCCGCGGGTGCCCCACACGCGGCAGGGGGTGGCGGCGGAGGACACGCGGTGCAGCCGCGTACCCCCGCTTCCTCTCAGGGGACGGAGTGTGGGGGAGTCCGGCTCGGCTGCTCGGCAGGACGCTGAGGGGACACCCCCCCACACACCCGGCGGCTCCGCGGGAGGGCACCCTCTCCCCGCGGCCCCCTCCGCGGCCGCCGACACGCGGGGCGCCCCCACGCCGATTCCGAGGGGGGTGCAGCGGCGCGGCAGGGCGAGCTGCCCCTCGCCCCGGCCGCCGACGGGACGCGTCCGCGTTGCAGTCCGCGGAGGCGGGGGTCCGGGGGGTGGGGGGGGGGGAGGGGGGTCCGCGGCGTGGGTTCCCCGGGCCGGGCGCGGGGCGCCGTGTGGGCCACGCCGCCGCGCGGGGTGCGCGGAGCACATGGGCGCCCCGCGTTACCTGGTGTGCGCCACGGCCGCCTCCACCGCCACCAGATCCCCAAATAATCCTCAGCCCCGGGGGGGGTGGGGGGTTGGGGAGGGAGGGGGTGAGTCCTCCCTAAAACAAACCTCCCATTGAGCGAGGCGGGGTGGAGAGCCGGCCCGGGGTCTGCCCCTTCACATGGCGATGTCTCCGGCAGGTCCCGGCAGCGGCCGCCCGGGCCACACAGGTAGCTGCTCCGCGGCTCGGCCGCCCTCGGCTCGCATCCTCCTGCCGCCGCCGCCGCCGGGCTGCACCTTGGCGCAGAAGGCAGCTCGCACTCGTCGTCGTCCCCCCCCCCCCCGCCCCCCCGCGCCCCAGCCCGCTCCTCCCGCCCTCACCCTGCCCGGGGAAAATGAAAACGCGACAGAAAAATCGCGGCCGGCGGCCCCCGGCGAGCTGCAGCGCCGCGGCCGCAGCCCCGCTGGCCGGAGCGGGGCTCGGGCACCGGCCCCCGCCGCTGCCCCCGGCGCCGCGCCGCGCTGCCTCCCCTCGCTCGCTCCCTCGGCCTCTGTTCAGCCTGGGAGCAGCAGCAGCTTGCTGCCTCTTTTTTTTTTTTTTTTTTTTTTTCCTTCCCTCTCCTCAACTTTTTTTTTTTTTTTTTTTTTTTTTTTCCCTTGCTTTCCCACGCTGGCTGAATGTGACTTGACCCCGTTTCAAAAAAGTTTGACATAGTGCTTCAACATTTCCGCATTCCTCCCCGACTACAAAGGCTGCAGCCGCCTCCTTCTGCTTTCTGTCTCTGCTCTCTGTCTTCACACTCAATGAAATCCTTCATGTGCCTCTGCCAAAGGCAGCCGCATACCGCAAGGGTCGCCGCGAGCGCCGCGGCCAGGCCCGGCCCCGGGCGAGGCGCCCCGGGGGGTCCCGGCAGGGCCCGGCCCCGGCCCCGGCCCCGGCCCCGGCCCCGGCCCCGGCCCCGCCGCGCTCGGCGCTGCACGGCCGTGGGCTCCGCCGGCTGCGGCAGCACTGAGAAGCCTGACTCATTCCTAGTGTGCAAGGCGCTGGGAAATAACCCCTTGGGGGGGTTGCGTTTGCTTGAGTGTTTTTTTTTCCCTTTCCTGGGAAATAACGCTTTTGGCTTTTTTTCCTCCAGAAAAAAAAAAAAAACAAAAAAACCAACCAAAAAAAAAAAACAAAAAAAAAACAACAAACCAAAACAACCAACCAACCAACCAAAAAAAAAAAACAAAAAAAAAACCAACGGATTCTTCTGTGCTTTTTTTTTTTTTTTTGCTACTTTCCATTCACAGAGAGCGCAGAGCTCCGGCAGGAAGTAAGCGCCCATGAATGGTTTCGGGAAGCATCAAGAAAGTTCGTTGCTGAAGAGCTCCCGGCCGCCCCCCCGGCCGCCCCCCCAGGGGCTTCGCCCCGCCGGGCTGGCAACGCCGCGGGAGCTGCGCGGGGCGGGGGGCGAGCAGGGCAGGGGCTGCCGGGCGCCGGGTCAGCCCCTCCTCTGAGGCAGAGAACGTTTTGTAGGGAGCCGATTCCTACAAATATTGAAATTCACCGCAGGGGGAAAAAAAAAAAAAAAAATAAAAAAATCACAAAACAGATGCTGATCTACTCCATCTCCATGGGGGAAGACACGCATCTGGAGTTCCTAATTCCCAGTTCTCCCAGCTGGTGCCCTCCAGCACATGGTTTTCTGGACCTCGAGGACGATTATGGTTCAGCTCCAGAATCAGCTCGTACGGTGGTTTGACTGGGAGGAGAGGACGCAGATCTCTTCTTACAATAGGAAGCACAATTTAACCAAGTAGGCTTACAACTCAGAAAGGTATGTCGAGGACTTGGCATCATGCACCAATTTAGAACAACTAAAAAAATAGATGTAATACTGTACAGACAAAAGTAATTCATATCAGAAAGAAGCATATAACTACTCTGTCTGGACTCACAGTGCTACTGAGCATATATGAAATCCTACAGTTTAAATGCAATTTTTTCTTCCTTGCTTCATAACCGACCCCAGCATTTCCACATGCCCTTGCTATTTTTGAGAGGTTTAGAAGCAGCACCCGGGGGGGCTGGTAAGGGGAAACTGGCTGAGAGCTGAAGGGACACCTCTGATTTCCCCTGGGGAAAAGTAGGAGCTATTATCACTCACGCCTTCAAGCAAAAGGCCAGTGGCATGTGGGTGTTTGCAGGACACCATGCACACTTTGTAAGAACTTCAATTATGCTCATAATATATTTTAGTTTAAATCACAGAAATTTATCAACAACTTCTGGAGTCCATGATTTATCAGAAAAAGATGAAGTTAATGACAAGCCCCATAACCTTTAAATGTGAAAGTGTCAAAGATTCAAATACACAGATCAAAGCTTTTTTTTTAAAAAAAAATGTGAAAAATCACATCACATTACAAGGTTGGTTCTTTTCTTTCTTTCTTTCTTTCTTTCTTTCTTTCTTTCTTTCTTTCTTTCTTTCTTTCTTTCTTTCTTTCTTTCTTTCTTTCTTTCTTTCTTTCTTTCTTTCTTTCTTTCTTTCTTTCTTTCTTTCTTTCTTTCTTTCTTTCTTTCTTTCTTTCTTTCTTTCTTTCTTTCTTTCTTTCTTTCTTTCTTTCTTTCTTTCTTTCTTTCTTTCTTTCTTTCTTTCTTTCTTTCTTTCTTTCTTTCTTTCTTTCTTTCTTTCTTTCTTTCTTTCTTTCTTTCTTTCTTTCTTTCTTTCTTTCTTTCTTTCTTTCTTTCTTTCTTTCTTTCTTTCTTTCTTTCTTTCTTTCTCTTTCTTTCTTTCTTTCTTTCTTTCTTTCTTTCTTTTCTTTTCATTCTCATTCTCTTGTTCTGTCTCTCATTCTCTCATTCTCTCATTCTCTTCCTTTCTCTCTCTCTCTCATTCTTTCTCTCTTTTTCTTTCTCTTTCTCTCTTTCTTAACCTAATATTTAGTCAGCTGTAACAAGCTTTGTACAGAAAACCCTCCTCAGGTTCCAGGGGCATAAGCTGTCTCATTTTACATGCAAAAGACTTCACTTTTGGGGAAGGAGAATTGAAGTCTTGGTTGGTGTCTCCCTGTGAAGATCTCTGGATCTCTAAATTCCAGTCGGGCTTTGCTCCCGAGGGGGGTCTGAGGGGCACCGGGTCCTTTGGGCAGGTAAATGTGCAGCTTCATGTTCAGGGTGAATGTGGAAAGGAGATTTCTGAGTCCCCTGGCATTTACCTCTGTGCTCAAATGTGCTGATTTATCGTTCTCCTAATAAACAGTGTTCAGCACAAACTCGCCCTTTCGTCCCATATTCTCCCAGTCTTTTGAGGAGCACATGTAAAGGTTCTGTCCTTTAGAGGTGTTTTATCTGCCTTCGCGTGGTGATGTCAGTAGAGATTGCCATGGGAGATTATAATGCTCACGCTATCATATTGAATAAATTTAAAACATAAAAGTGCCACATAGTTAATGTGGCTTTATATGATCCTCAGATTTTTTGGTGGGACTTTTTTTTAAAAAATTATGTGATTCTTTTTTTTCTTACTCTCCACCTGAAGGTCAGGTAATCGAACTACTTTATCTCCTAGAGTTCAAAGAAGATACACAAACCTCTAAAATGACCTAAACCAATTTTCTCAATTTTCTTTATATACAAGTTAAGTGATTTCAGGAAAAAATTTCCAAACATGATTAAATATAAACATCAGCTAAAATGGATGATATTACAAATAATTTGTTGTAGAGCCTGCAGTTATTTACCTGAATTGACAGAATTCCTTGAGAATAAAAAACCTACTACATTGTTTTAAAGTTCAAAGTCTAAAACATGTTTCAAATAATATATATTTTAGGATAGTTATAAATCATCAAAAAATACACTTGAAATATTTTTTCTTTTCATAACAACCTTTAAAAATCTTTATTCTTTTGTTTTCATGAAAGTAGCATTCTACTTTTAACATTTCTGATTTAGAATAGCTAAGTATACACTTATTTTTTATCAACACCAGAGGTTTCCCCACAGAGAAATTGATAAATCCCTTATTTCTTTTATAATTGAAAACATAGTAATTTTTAGAAATTTCCAGATATTTTCAGAAATTAATCTTTTAAGAAGCTCATTAAATATTGTTATGAAATTAATCCTACATACCATTTCTTGCTAATTCTAAACTTAATTCTGAAGTATTTTTGTTCTGGAAAAACAAAAATTTGGAAACCTGTATCGAAAGAGGAAGAAAATAAATTTATTTCTACATCACTGTTTTCTAATTTTCCATCAACTTTTTCTTTGTGAAAATATGTTTTTCAATATTTTTCAATTCCAGTATATTTAATTCTAGGTTTTTTGAAAAATCACAGCAAAAAAAAAAGAAACAACTTCTACTAAAATGAATTTTTAAAAGAACATTCTAATGTATTATATGAATTGGAATTAAATTGAAATCAAACTCCATTAAAACTAAAAAGAACTTATATTATATGCTGTATAGAAATAATTTTCATGAAATGAGGTTTGTAATGTTTTGCTGGAAATAATGAATAAGCCAGTGGTGTGGAAATGGATAACAAGCAATTACCAGAATGAGTATAAAGCAGTTGATTAAAATAAGCTGGTAGTGGTGGGCAATACCCAGAAGTGTGACGAATAGACTAAGACTTTCAGAAAGGATGAGACACAATGTATTGTTTTGCTTTGTGTAGTTTATCTGTGTTTCAGGAACAGCTGAGGCTCTGCTGGGGATTCCCAGTTTGATCTTACAAGAAATCTTCTACAAAACAGCATGAAACTTCCTTTTCAAAGTGCAGATTTTTATAAAGCTTTTGGAAAATAATTTGCTTTGATTATGTTGTTATTGCCGGGTTTTGTTTGTTAACTCACATCTTCAGTCTCAGTTAGTATGATTTGTAACCAATTTTTCCAGGCATTTATCCTCAAGAAAACACCTGAACTGATGAGAGACAATTATTGTTGTAGCAGAGAGACATCAGTCAAAAATTGTGAATATGAATATTTAGAACCTGCAGTAGCCAGAATTTGTTTTAAAATGGTAGCTTAAATTATGGCTTTTTAGAAGTTCCCTTTAGCAAGCCAAAAGAAGTTTTATAAACAAAACAATTAGTATTTATATTGTGTAGAAAATTATTCCTGAAAAGGTATTTCAGATATGACACTTCATACTGAACTTGGGAAATAATTATTTTCACCTATCATTAGCTGTGTTATATGTGTGTGAAAATAGATTATAAATATACAGTAAATATTTCAAAGCTACTTTTAATGAAGCATAGGCAAAATGAGAAATGTGATATAACTGAACATTAAGAATTAATTCCAATGTGAAATATTGAAATATTTTCCATA